CTCTTTGCATGAAAACATGGACTGTTTTCAAGACTCAACATCCCAGGATGCTGTTTGGTTTCTTGTTTTCTTATCAAAGACACAATGACCACTCTGAAGTGAAAGGGGCTATTTTCTTGTGCTTTCCATATAAATTTCAAGTGAAATATGTACATAAGCCAGCATTAAAATATGACATCTATTTTCCTTCATACACTTAAGATTTTAAAATGATACTTTTATATTAAATCAGGAGACTACGTTAGGATGGAAACTGCTATGTGTTAAATAGGAAAATAACTTGGATGCAAACAAATGAATTGTACTCAGACTGAAAATTGCATAGATCTTGTAAATAAAGACTCATCAAATCACAAAGAAACAAAGAAACAAACAAACAACAAAATCCACATCCTGTGTCAGTTAATTTAATCTTACTGGTGATTAAAAAATATATATTCCTTAGACAACATTTCTTATATTTCATCTAGCCTAGATTTAAGTCTCTGATGGGATGCAAATTCAGATATACTTCTAGGGGAAGAATGTTTTAATATTACTGAAAGATTGTCCAATCTCATTTTCAAATATTTGAAATATTTCACATAATTGATCTTTTCAAAACTTTAAACAGACATACTGATCTAACTTACAGTAATTTCAATGAATAAATCTAATAGTAAGTATAATTGAAAATTTGCTCATCAAATTTTCAGATGACACTAAACTAAGTGACAATGTTAATGTTTGAGAAGCCAAGATAAAATATGACTTTGAGAAAGTTGTTTAATCTAAAAAAGAGGACATTTAGTAAGGTGGATGGGGGACAATAAAGTTGAAACACTAATATAATAGGGGGTGGAGGTGGGAAATAACCCAAGAAATTGTGGTGTTAATGCACTAAGTGAGAGGTATGGATAAAATATTTTTATGAAATAGGCTGCTGTGATCTAGTAAATGCATTAGACAGCAAGAAACATCCTTGCTGTTCTGTTTTGCAAGAAGGGATTCCTGTGTTTCATTTCTGTGACTTCATTTCGACCTATTATTCATGTCAGGGAGCTGCATTGCCCTTATCTAGTCAGAGTTTAGTGCAGGATTTTAAATCCTAGAAAGCCAGGAGGTTATCAGAGAAAAGTTATTTTCAGGTTTTTCACGATGAGGTGCAAACATAGAAATCAGGATACGGTAGAACACTGAGTAAGCAAACAGGAAGTGAGAGAGGTGAGAAACAGGCTGAGTTAGATTGCCACGACAGGGTCAGAGACAGAGGAAATGAGAACCAGGCTGTGAGACCAGAGGTGTTAGCACCAGGGGTCACAGTGCGTGAGTGGGAAGCCCCAGTCCAGTTCTCTGCCTTCAACAGGGGCACAGGAGACAGCAGACAGTTCCAGAGATCTGCTTGTATGGCCTCCTCCACCTGACCCTTCTGGTTCATGCTAAGAGAGCTACCGCCATTATATATTTCCATCATTACGAAAACAGTTTCCATTACTGAGGGCTTACTGTGTGCCAGGACATAGACTAGGGATTCACTTGTTCATTGGTTCCTTTATTCTCTAAATATGTTTTCAGCCTAGAATATGCCTGGTACTGTGATGGTATTAAGATGCAATGATGAGTAAAACAACGTGGTCCTCAATCTCATAGCAAGGGGGTGAGACAGATATTAACCATACAGTGTATACAACCTAAGTAAATATAAATATACATATAATTAAAGATGGGATAAGTCCTATCAGAAAAGGACTAGGAGACCTAGGGGTGCTGACTTGGTCTGAGAAAGTGCGGCAGGGTGAAGTTTGAGCAGGAAAGAGCTGGACGAAGAGGAGAGCATGGGTACTCTGGATAAAGCACAATTCTCAAAGGATGTGAGGTATCTGGAAGAATTCCACAAAGAGGACTGAGGATGTGGAAAGAGGCCAGATCACACAGGGCCTAGAAGAGAATCTCAAGGAGCGACAGGAAACTGTTGAAAGCTTTCAAGTGGTGATATCACATGAACTAATTTTTCTTAAGATAACCCTGGCTACAGTGGGAAGGATAAGTTGGAACAAATATACAAACCAGTTAAGGAGCCAGTGTTTGGATTATCATGAGAATGATAGGGAATAATAATTCACTCAATGCTCACACCCTAATAGGATCCTCATTGTACAGAGGAATGGACCGAAGCTTGGAGGGGTTAATTTCCAAAGTCATAGGCCTACAACATGAGGGATTAATTCTTTCGTGTTTAACCTTTCTAGTCACATACTCACTGAAGCAAGATTCATACAAATGTATAATTGGAATGGAAACTTAGATCCTGTGTAAATTAATTCATTGATCTATTCAAGTAATATTTGTCGAGTGGCTGTTCTAGGCACAGGGATTACAATATTGAAACAGATAGAAAAAGTCACTTTTCTAATAAAGCTTACACTTTAGTGGATGAAAATGGTAATAGATTAACAAACTGGCTATCTGAATATCAGTGATAAAATGATAGCAATCAAACAGGGTCATGTGATAGGCAATGATGGAAAAGATTCTTTGTTCAGTGGTAGTGAGAGGGCAACAGATGGAGCCTTTAAGGCAAAGGGATTGCTCGGACAGAGACCTTGATATGGGGACAAGCATGGCAAGTGGAGGGCCAGAAAGAACCTCAGGCTGGCCAGCATGTCGGGCAGAGTGGTACAGGATGTGTTTGACAAGATCGTCAGGGTCCAGGTTAAAAAGGACCTTGTAAATGTAGGGTTTAGATTTTAATCCGATTGAATGAGAAGCTTTGGGAAGGTTATTAAAGGAAGCGAGGTAAAGAAGATAGGATGTGATTCCAGTTTTAAATGATCACTGCAGCTGCCATGAGGAGGGGGGGTTGGAGGGGGCAACACTGGATGCTGGGAGTGTCATCAGGAGGCTGCTTCACATGCCTCCCAGGTAAGAGATGATGGTGGCATTGACTAGGGGGCAGCAGGGGAATTGGAAAAGAGTGAACGTTTGAAGACCTCTTTATTATGGAAAAATACATACAAAATTAGAGAAAACAGTAAAGTAAAATCTGATGTATCCATGACACAATTAACCATTATCAACTCATTGCCAACTTTGTTTCTTCTGTATCTCATCAGTTTCTTCAGATTATCTTGCAGTGAATACTATGCCATTTTATCCATAAATGTCATAATATGAATCTCTAGTAGACAAGGATTTATATTTTAACAAAATACTAATTTATACCTAAAAGTAAACAATAATTAATTTCTAATGTTGTCAAATGCTCCTATCAGTGTTCACATTTCTTTGTATTATGGATTTTTTTTTAAGTTTGTTTGGATCCAGGTCAATATTGGTTGCAACCATATGCAATATATGCTGGTTGCATGTATCTTCTCTCTTTGTCTGTCTGTCTCTCTCTCTCTATGTGTGTATATATATATACACACATACAAACATCTAGATCAATCGGTCTATTTATCTATCTAGCTAGCTAGCTAGCTATTGACTATCAATATCTTTATCTTTCCTTTTCCCTCTAATTTGTTTTTTGAAGAATTTGGTCACTTCCTGAAGAGTATTCATCAGTTTGGATTTTCCTAATTGCATTATAATTTTGTGATTTTTACATGTTGCTCTATCCCCTGTATCTTCTGAGAATTGGCATTTAGAGTGAGAATTTTAATTGGATTAAAGTTTGATTTTTTTTCTTTTCATCAGCAAATGTCCTTTTATCAGGAGGCATATAATACCTGATTGTCTCTTTTTTTCATGCTAACATTTGCTGATAATCATTGCTCAGATACTTTAATTAGTTAGTGGTACAAAATAGTGATAATAATTTGATTATTCAGAAGTAGATTGTTTAAAAAAATTAGAGAGAGTGTGAACAAGGCTTGCTGATGGAATTTTGATAATAGGGAGAGAAAGAAAGAAATTAGGAATGACTCCTATGCTTTTGGCTTGGGAACCAGATATGATATTGTGGTGTTCTCTTCTCAATGTACCAGTATGAACAGGACTGGATGGTGGGGCCACAAAGTAGAAACAGCCTGAGTCCCTAAATCACCACATGGAAGACAGCAGGCCGATCAGGGACACTGACAATGGAGACTACTCAGTGTCAAGAAATGTGTACGTATGTTCTGCACACTTTAATCTTTAGAATTTGAAAGTTTCATACATCTGATCCAAATCTTCTTATAGGACATCAAGATGTCTCTAGTACTTCAAATCCACATTATAAAGAGAAAATATGGTAAAAATTATGTCCAATTTGGCTTTTTATTTTGGAGAAATAAAGTATATCTTTACTTATGTGTTATTTTCAGGTCACTCTTTGTACTCTTTTATCATAAAAATATTAATCAGACCTTCTTTTCAGCTCTAAATAAAGAATTTGCAAGTTTATTAAGTGGTTTTTATCTGTTGTTGATTGCATAACACATAGCTAAATTTCAATCTACTTTAATAAGTATTTGGTCCTCCAAAGCAAATGTGATGTAACAAGTAATTAAACAAAAGTTTTAGCCAACAGGTAATATTTTCTCCTTACATAATTAATTGAAAATAAATCAGTAAACAAGGGTCACTTAAATGTAAAAAATAATTTTCTTTAATTATAATGAATATTATGAAAGGTTATAAATAAACTTGGTAATAAATCTTTAATAATAAACTAACCTAAAATGAAATATGTTGTTTTCTTATTAAAATCCACCTCTTTCCCATTAACTACACAAAAATATTGAATACATATTGCATATTAAATGACTTGCATGTTGAATGACTTAAAAATTTTTTAAGAGAATTCACAAGATTATGTATTATTGTAAAAGGACTTTAAGAATTAGGAAAAGTGAGGTATGATGGTCTGATAAATTAAAATATGTATTTTATTAGATAAGCATGTCCAATGATAAGAATTGATAATAACAATGTTATACTCTTGTTTGATTTTCCTTTAGGTTTTATTTCCTGATTTGAGCCTTCTTGGAATGAGTAGGTGTCTCCTTAACATGATTTCATTTTGATTTCTCTAGGCTGGCCTTCTGGACCTCTTCCTCCTTTGACCCTACCGCCCCTCCTACTGTGATTGATGAGCACACACTAGGAGTCAGGTAATGTTCAAAGCTCAGGCATTGTCACTGCGCATGTGATATCTGACTACAAAGAACATTAGGTCTAGCGAGTAAAATGAACAAGTAGCTACTAAAGTGACAATTGTAATGCAAAGTACTGGACACTAAGACAGGGAGCAAAAAGAATGATATGGAAACATAGATAGCAGGAGCAGCTAAACCAGACTCAGGAGGTGAGAAAGTCTCTCCAAGTATCTATGTTGAAGCCCACGTGCTGATGAAGAACTGGCCAAGCAGAGTTTTCCAGACGAGTGAACAGCTGGGGTTGCAGGTGCCGTGTAGAGCATCAGAGGTGTAAGCAGAAGCCTGTTTCCTTATATAAGCCATGGACTTTTTACACCTTGTTAAGAACTTTAGATTTCATTCTAAGAGCAATGGGGAGCTAAGAAAGGATTTTAAGCAGGAAAAGCAACACATTTCATTTTGTATTGTAGGAAGATTAGTCTTGCTATAGGTAGGGAGAGCAGAGGTGAGCTGTCTGGTTACCAGTGGTGGAAGGAATCCAGGAAGAGATAAGGGTGGCCAAGCCAGGGCATTGACTATGGATATAGAAGAAGTGGACCAATTCTAGAGACACATAAAGGGTGTCAATTGGATTTTGTGACGTTAGAAAAAGAGGTGGGAGTGGAGGTCTTCTTGTATTTAAAAATGACATATTTTAAGATTGAGTGGGTTTCTATTTAACTCTCGAGACTGGACCCTTTTTTTCATGTTAGTCTCTCATCTGATCCCAAACTGAGGATTTTAGTCCTATCTCTGACCTATATGTGAAGAGAAAGTTCATCAGAGCCTCTCAGTGCTGTCCCACATCTAATCTCCCCCTTCCATCTAGGGGCCAGAACAGCCCAAGTTTGCATTTCAGATACCTATTTGTTGTAGTGCATGATTGGTCCTCATTCTTGTTATGTACTAGGAGTTTAAAAGTTACTCATAAAATTCAAGACAGTGGATCTTAGTGCCTCCTGACAGATGAAGGTTTTGTGCAAATTTTTTCCCTGCATCATTCAGACTTGCTCTGTGTCCTTCAATATTCCATGTAACAGCAGCCACATTTTAATGCAATGACAGCTTTGAAAAAATAAAACTATCAGTCATTGTCAGATACTTTATAAGTGGAGACAGAGGAGGGGTTCTGTTCTCTGTGTAACAAGGACAGAGGAGAAAGGTCAGTGATATATCATGTGGTATAGGATTTCCCCTTAAGCAATCTTCTGCTAAGACTTGCTCACAGTGTGCAAGCTTTTGTCTGGACAAGGACTCTTTAAGATTGCTCCTCTACTGAAGGCTACAAACATTCAAGTCTCTGCTCTGTACGGTGTTGAAGAAAGGAGAGAATGCCTCTCAAGTGGATTTGGGGAAAGAATTAATTTTTTGCCATTTAGAATGGCCAGGAATTAATATTAACGGTTGTTTCACTTATGAAAAATTCATTAGATGGCTTATAAATTATGTATGTGGGAAAAAGAAAATCTATCAATGGGTGGTTTGAGGATTCAGAAGAGCACTTACATTGATAACAAAAGGTATTTTGTGCAGCAGGTCATGTTTGGGGTGGGCTTTTGTTCTTCCTTTGTGCCTGAAAATGATGAATACAGAATTGTTCTTATGCAATTCCCTGGTAGTGAGGGAACTAGTCATTTCAATAGAGTTTATCACTATGTACTTGTCTGCTGTTTGGAAGCAAAGAAGGCAATTGACAAAAATGTAATAGAAAAGTCAGAGAACTGAACTGGACTGTCTGAATACTGAACCCATGTGCCTAGCAACGCAGAGCAACCTCATAAAGAGCCCTTCTCCCAGATCTCTTGAAAAAAGAATAAACACAGTGACCCAAGAATTCAAACCTCTACGTGTAGTATAAAAGTAAACAACAGACCGATGCCAAAAGAAGTTTAATTTTTCAAAATCTTGCAGAGTGATAAAACATATTTTCTTGCATAGTATCAGTCTAAATGGAGTATTTTATTTATTGTATTTTTTTCTGGTTAGTTTTATCTTTTCCATGCCAATAAATACAGGCAGTTGCAATACCCTTAAATAGTTGCAAATTGGAGCAGAATCTGTGGGGAATGTTTAAATATCTCTTTGAAAGACACATTAAAATAGGACTATATATTAATATGTCTTTTTAAAAGTTCTATAAACTTTTGGAACAGTGTGGGTATATAGTAACTAATAGTAAATAAATGTAGTTTAAATTCAAAAGAATTTATTCTAGTAAATTCAAAATAATAAATTCTATAATAGAACAAAAAACGACAAATTATAACTGAGGAAATAGTAGCTAGTCTGTGTTAATGATATATGTGGTTCCAATCTTGTTAATATGATTGGAAATTAAATTATATTCAACTAGTTTACCATAGATGATTAAACATTGAATGAAAAAAATCAAATTCCTGTTACTATCTGATTTTCTATAGTTGTTTCTCTTTTATTGTGATCCTTAATCTCTCTTTAAAAAGATATATTGTTTTCTTTATGTAAAGAAAATAGCTGAATTAACCCTAAGCAACAGAATTTCTAATAAAATTGAAATAAATTAATGAGTTTGGCTTGGAATTAGAAAGACTTCTAAAAGGACAGTGCAAATACGAATACCTAAAGGATAGTCTAAAATCAAGAGAATACTTTCCTCCACATACTTTAGCCTTCAGGTAGGCATTTGTAATTCCAGATGAGTGTGGCTTCTTTTTGAGGAAGAAGAGTGTCCAAGGGTTTCACTGCAGTAAGGAATAGGGAATATGCTGTATATGCAGCTGATTTTCATGGTGATATTACCCTTGAAATTTTATGTCTATAATTCTACAGAAGAAAAAAAATATGAATAGCATATGTATTGTCAATTCTAAGAGCTTCTTTTAATTCACAGATGCCCAAATATTAACTTAAAACCAAATGACTAAAATGTGTCTCATCATATTCTGGGCATTTCCAGTGTCAAATCTGCAGAGACAAGTGCACCTGGAGACAAATGACGAGTCTACCATAAAACAGAAGCTTAATTATGTTCACTTACATTTTCAAATTATTCCCAACAAATTACCTTGGGTAGGTGGCACATCCATCAAGGCAAGACTCTAATTTCATATTCATAGTAATGTGCTCCTGTAAACTCCTCTAATAAGGCCTTAACTAAGTTTTCCTTGTGACCTCACTTAGCTGAAATATTGCAGGCTGTGTGTTTTGTAGTGTCTCCAATTAATTTCTGACCTTGGTGCTGCCTGGGTACAATGAGGCAAGTGAAGGGTGGAGATCAGATTTAATTTTGAATTTCCTGACGGCTGCTGGTTTGTATCTCAACTTGAACATTACTTAAACGTGTTATTTTTGGTCAATGACTTTTTATACAGGGTACTGGGCAAGTGTAATTAAGTAGGCTAAGTTTTGTTCTCAGCTGTCCTCGGAGTTCTTGTATGGGAACTTGGACTCTCAACAGGAAACACCTGTATGGTAGTTGTATACCAAGCCTTCCCAGAGAATTAATATGTAACATTGTTTCTGTGCCTCATAAGTTCTTCCCCAGACAGAAATGCCCAGCTGTATTTGAAGGCTGCATTTTTAATTATTACTGAAAATCCAAACTCTCGGCTTAGACGTGAACCTTGTTATAAGGGTATATTACACTCAGCTGTACCAATGGGCAGCCAGATCATTCATTCATTTCATCATTCAATTTTAGAAAATCCCTTTTCAACAATCTTTATTGAATGCCTGCTCTGTATAAGAATTGTGGAGGTATACAAAAAGAAATCAGATCTAGATCCCACCCTCAAGAGAGATTAACAGGAAAAATATTATTGTCTTGAATGGAACCCAATTAATTCCTTCTTAAAGATGATCAGCTGATATTCAGATAGGCTACTTGCTTTGTAAAAAAAGAAAAAACAGTTGAAATTATGCTGTTAAAACCCTATATGAGCTCCTGTTTTGGGCAATTCATGGATTAAACATAATTTTACAACAATTAAAAATCTAAAAATGAAGAATAGAAATAATAAAACTATATGTTGAATTTGATAGCTGAGCTCCTGATGAAGTTGGAGAAATCCTCAAAGACAAAAAACTAGGAGGGTGTTAAAAACAAACATAATAACTCAAGTTGAACATGAAGCTGCAGTTATCCTGGTGAAACCTGCTGATCTACCTCACTCAGAGGTTTCGGTTTTAATAGCTTAGTGGACTTAGGAAATAAGGCCTTGAGCTCAAGCAAGATGAGACATTAGAACCAAGATCACAGCATAAAGTTGAAGGTCTTGAAGAGTTGCAGCCTAAGTGACAGGGTAGACCAGAAAGCTGATCTACTGCAATAGGGAAATAGCAAGGATATTTAGCAGGGTCAGCCTCAGCTCAGGATATAGACAAAAAGTTTCCTCAAGAATTTGCAATTACTGACTGCCCTCATTCAAGTTTAGTGTTTGAATTTACTATAAAAGACATATCTAGATAACATCAAGCTAAGAAATTAATTTGAAGTGACTAGGGGTCAATGTGCCCTATGGAGCATAAAAGGAGCAAGCATAATTTCAGTCAATAGTGATACATGTTCAACCTAGACCTCACAGCATCCCTACAGAGAAATCATCAAGTCACAATAAAAAAATTAATATTCAGACCCAAATATACAAAGAACTGTTAAAACTCAACACTAAACAACTATGCAACTCCTTGAGTTGAGATAGAACCAATAGTCCTGGGAGACCAAGGTAACTAGACATTGCAGGACAGATTACTGAAAGGAGACAGCTGCATAGCTGTAGAACT